AATGTAAAGCAGCTTGTATTTGTGGACATTTACCTCAGGGTGTTCATCACATCCACAAGACCTGACAAACCTGCCTATCACAAACATGAGAAACAAACTTGTAAACTTGCTTGTTTGCGTATGCATGCAGACGTTTGTTGATCTTGTTTAGCAGGCTTTAACAACTCTATCTAAAGATTGAGGAAGTATAACTCTAATCATAAACAGAACTCTAAGCATCATGAAAGTCAATTACTTTCACTTTTTAGCAAAATATTACTTATTCACATAATTGCAGTTCCAGCACAAACTAATGTAATGATAAAGTCACCTTTCCATTCCAAGTGTTAGTATAAATAATAATAGATCAGATTTATATAGCGCTTTTCTAGGCACTCAGACACTTTACACTGTCAATGATTCATTCACATACATTCATTACTGGGGTGGTGCTGCCCTGGGGCAGGCTGACAGAGGCGTGCCTGCCATTCTGCGCCTACAGCCCCTTCGACCACCACCTCAAACAATCCATTTATACCAGGCAAGGTGGGTGAAGTGTCTTGCCCAATGATACAATGACAATGACACAGGTTACAGGGCGAAATCGAACCACCAACCTTCCAATCATTGATCAACTCGCTCTACCACCTGAGCCACACCCATCCATTTTTGTACCAGTATTGGCACAGTGTTATGATAATAAGCGTCCCATCAACAACTCGTTAAAACATCAACAGATTCTAATTTTGTGCAAAGGTAGTGAGTAGAATATGCCTCGAATGTAGGGGCTGTTTGCTAGGAAATGTATGCAAGAATACAAAGTAGGTAAGGTTCTGACAGTATTTTGGCATAATTAGATAATAAATTCATAAAATTAAAATTTTCATAACAGTTTACAGAAATTATTGCAATTGACAGTGGTATAGCCCACGTAGCATTCACACGATTGCCTAATTTCCTACTTTTTAATTCATTTGAAAGGAATAAAATGGAGAGACATGCATTGTTTCACATTGATTGTACCCACAGACTTTGTGTATAAGATGGACATTGCCACCATGATGTCACACCCTGGTTTATAAACTATTGTTATGAAGTCTTTTGAATTTGGCCATTGCATTGTTGGTCTTTTGAAACCAGACATAAGTGACGATTGACTGAGAATTAGAGGACACTATACACACGGAAAAGTTGTGGTTCAGCATCACATGAAACACCAAACTTTTCAGCTGACCTATAACCTGCATTTTTACCTGCTGCACCCCACTTTGTTTACACGTGGGAGGCTGACTCTCTGGAAACTCAACAGTTAAATGCAATGGCAGATTACCCTGTTGAACCATCGTAATTACCGATAGATCATTTCAGTTTGATAGTCGGTTGTGTTTGTTGGAAGCGGAGTTCTCAGACGAGGAGCTGAATCGTGTGGAAGATGAGACTCAGATTGAGGCAGGTAGGCAACAGAAAGTCCTGAAAGACGGCATACTCTGGGAAGCTTGTGTTTAGTGATGTGTGGATACCACTGACCCGTGGGACCTATGGGTTTAGATAAGCTTAACTGAAGGTATAAGGGGTTAAGGTTGGGTCAAAAAGTGACAATGGAGCGTTACGACTAAGTTGTAAACAAGTTAGAGACATACTGAGTGCTACAGGCAAGGCGGTGCCCACATTCCACCTTATCTGTCACATCAGCTGGCACATTCTCCCGCAGTCGCCAAGAATCTTCATGACTAAACTATCCTTTGTAATTGACAAGTAGCAACATGCACTCATGGATTGCTGTCTGTATATTTCCTGTAATATTTTCCTTCAATAGTCTAGTTCTGTCATCATTCAGTAGCATCTGTGCTCCTGGAATAAAAGCCACATACCAAACACCACAAAATATTTTCGGAGAGACATGACAGATACAGTTTTAGATAGTTGCGATTGTGCGGCAGGGTGGATAGGTGGTTAGCATTGTTGCCTCACCGGTTCCCAACCTGAAGTGTTTGTGAAGTTTACATGTTCATCCTGCTTCCTCCCACAGTCCAAAAACATGCTGAGGTTAACTGGTGATTCTAAATTGTCTGTAGGTGTGAGTGTGCTTCTTTGTCTCTATGTGTTGCCCTGTGATACACTGGGAACCCTGCCTTCACCTGAGTCAGCTGGGATAGATTCCAGCCCCCCCCCCAACGACCCTACAGAGGATAAAACGGTGTATAAATAGTGGATGGATGTATACAATCAGTGAAAGATGTTACAACAAGGGGAAAGTCATCTTGTATGCTGGATTTCTAGTCTGCTACGACCTCTGCAACACCAACACATACCCAACAGAAAGCTATACAAAGCTTCACACGTGTAAAGCAGTCTGACTCACCACATGTAGGATGCGGGTATAAGTCTGCCTTTGGCTGCTCCTGTCATCTGGCTTTCTACTCTCCTTCTGCTATTTCTGTGCTACTGTTTTCAAAATCCATTTCACTACCAGACACGACAACAACCTCTGGGTTATCAACCTACTACACTGGACATTTCAGAAAGTTTTTCAGACGATGTTATTTTTTAATAAATTGTGAAATGATCACAATTCTGTTTGCATGGTCTCCTCGTGCAGCGTGGGTTCTTTCAGGGTTCTCCGGCTTCCTCCCACAGTCCAAAAACATGTTCAGGCTAATTGGTGATTCTAAATTGTCCGTAGGTGTGAATGTGAGTGTGCTTGGTTGTCTGTCTCTAAGTGTAGCCCTGCGATAGACTGGCGACCTATCCAGGGTGCCCCCTGCCTTTGCCTTAAGTCGGCTTGGATAGGCTCCAGCCCCCCCGCAACCCTTGAAGCAGTGTATAGATAATGGATGGATGGATGGATGGATAGATAGATAGCTAGATAGATAGATAGATAGATAGATAGATAGATAGATAGATAGATAGATAGATAGATAGATAGATCACAGTTCTTGACTCCCTGTGAGAAAGTCCAGCATCCTTGGACCGGTCTACTAGATTTTTAATTTTTTTTTTAAAAAGGACCATAAAAGCATGCTCTATTCAAAAAGGTTCAGAACGAGCATTTAAAACTATAAACTCATTAGGAAAATATTTACTGCTGTAAAAAAAAAAATCAAGTGAGAAGTGTTTTTTGCCATCAACTTTAATACAATAAGATTTTGCAACTAGAGGAGTGGAAGAATGCAGGTTTAAGGCACTTGACTTGATTTTTCAGACCATAGATTGGACATATACAGGCTATTTTTCAGATCCGAGAGCTTCTTTCATATTTTAGAAACAGTTTACATTTGTGCCCAGCTGAGCAACAACTTCTCCTGCATTACACCACTTGGACGAACCACATGTGGAACTGCTCCATGTACACTGTGATACTACATGGGGTAGTAATCATAATAATAGTAGTAAACTGTTAAGCTTAGTGAAGATTAGATCTACAAATGATGCTTGCCTGTTGTAGGACATCAATTTTTTACATCATATTTCTTTATATAAATCAATATATATATATAAAAGGGTGGTGGAGACTGGGGCTATTCTGAGCATATTTGAATATCTGGGGGAGTATTTTTATAATTACGGCCCTGCCTGGTGGAATCACACCACTCATATAACAATGACACCATTCGTCTACACAGCTGCACATCAGCTGACAATGATTTAGGCCCGAGCTCGCCTCTGCGCCACAAATACACCGCCTTTACTAATTCAGCTTATAGAAGATTGCACCCACTTTAATCTGTTGTGTGCCCTCGGGGTGGATGACATCTGAAAATGAGCAGGAGAGAGGGGTGCCCTGACATTACACTGTTGCAAAATTGGTCACCAGTATTTATACTGGATTTATCCTGAATATCTGACACTGGGCATTTTGCTGCTGCCAGATATTCACATTGTAAGATAAAGGTTAGATTTAATAGTATCAGGCTGATATCAGGAGCAGTGGGCCATGGCTGCAGTTAGCTTTTGCTGGTTGTCTTGGCTGATTTACCCTGGATCAGTTCAACAAGCTGTGGCTATAAATAGACCCAGTGAGTGTTCTCAGGCAGACCACTATGCTGGTGGCAGTGCGTTTGTTTCTTTAAGAATTCAGCTGTAATTTCAGCCCTATAGGAGAGAGAGAGAGAGAGAGAGCGATATAGAGCGCGAGAGATAGATAGATAGAGAGAGTGAGCGTTACCTCACACCCCTCCTCCCTCCCTCCCTCCTCCCTTCTCATCTCTGTAATCGAGCGTCGAGCTGCACGATCCGCACCTCTGCAATTATGCACGTTTCGCGTCGGTGGGGATTCTCGGTAAACACAGCAGCCCGTGGCACCGTCACACAGTCCCTCCGCATTCCCCACAGGTCGTCAGCTTGTGTGGAGCAGCAGCAGCGGCAGAAGCAGCAGCAGCAGGCGGACTGGCTCGTTGTTTACCAAAAATGACTCGATATGGCTGCAGCAGCTTCCACCGCACGGTTCTGCGAGCGATGCTGGAAACTATAAGCAGCTGAGACGAGAGCGAGACGAAAATCATCTTAATGAAAGTCATACGGTGAGTCAATCTTTTCTTCTTTTAATAGTGTGTTTTCATAAATCTGTGGCTGGTACACAGAGAGCAGGCCAGTGTTATTTTCCTTCAACACAGTACAGCAGCTGGTCAGGCAATGCGGCGTGAACCGGCCCTGTGTGCTCTATTATATACACTTATATATGTACTGTTCGGTGTTTGAAAGGAGATATCTGTGTGAGCTATATGTGCTTCGATCCTGCCAATATCTCTAACATGCGATCCGGTGATGCGCATACCCAAGTTATTTTCGTGGGGGCTATCGTTTCCTCGTGAAAACGAGGTCCACCCGTGTTACGCAAGCGCATTTTAACCCTTCGTGCCAGTCGTTCCAGGAGCTAGCGCAACAATATTCTAGGAAGGTACCCGTTTTTTGTTGGGTTTTTTTGTGTGGTTTATTTATTTATTTATTGCACAAGTGCAAATGCACACCACTTTCATTTCCCAGAAAACGAATTCCGAGCAGGCCTATGTTTAAGGCGGGCCCAGCCATTCTGCTCTCTATTCAAGTGGTTGAGACCATAATAAACCAGCAGGAATCACACTGCTCACAAGCTGTGGAGGTAGTTTAGGGTTAATTCCTCTTGATTAATTCAATCCACAGTCTAAGGATCTCACATGCACAGCTGGTTTGTGTGTTGTGACCACACCATGCTCCAGAAACAATTTAAAAATGAGCTTCTTTTTGGATTATTCTCTGTCATGCATTCTATGATCCTTTTCATAGTTTCTGCAATCTGTTGATTTATTGTCTTTATTTTAAGTTCACTAAAAGACAGCCCTCAACGTGGGTTAACAGGAAGTAGGAAATGTGTAAGCAGCTTTCTTCAAATTCAAAAAGTCTGTTAAATGATTCAGCTCACTCTCATAACCACAAGCTCCTGTTTGGCTTTCGTTGCAGCTCCGAGAGGCCTCGCGCACATGTTGTGCTTGGTCCTCCAGGGCGCTTCAGCTGTTTCCCTTCTGTATCCTTAGGTCGACCTTTGTAACCATTTGCCCTTGGCAGCAGGGAACCGCATGCCACTTTAAGGACGCAAACATGCATGTGTGTATGTGAAACGATCCTCCTCCTCCCCTCTTCCTCCTCTATCTCGATCTGATATCTCCGGAGCCACTGTGTGCTCTCTTGAAGTGTCCCTGCAATAACAAAAAGTCTTTCTACCTAGCAGCATGCTATGTTAAAGGACTGGTGTTCACTGCCCACTATTACATTACATGCAGACAAGAGGAGAGGGCTGTGAAGTTGACCTTCCACTTCCCTGGTGACTTTTTCTTGACTGCAACGTTTCAATGAAGTACACTGTTTGTCCTCAAGCATTCCTTTGGCGTAACGCAGAAACAAAGGCAGATATAAAATCACCAAGGCCAGACAGGGATTTATATATGTGTTTTTGTGCACCTCTGCTGGGAGATACTCTGTTCAGTTGCTCAGGAGATGTAAATATGTCCTTAAAGTTAACTGGTTTGGCTTCTTACCAAAGGCTCTTACAGTCAAACCAGCCCTAATGAAAATAAGTTAATGCAACACTGATGAAAAAACAGTTCAGTTTTTTGGAGTCATAGAGGTTTCTGTGGAGCTTCTGTCACTGACATACATTTACTGGCCTAAAGCCAGAGTGCATGTAGAGCTGCTAATTTTGGATCTGTGTTGTCTTATGGAGAGCGCTCACTTTTTATTCAAATATAGACATGACAAATAGATTTTGGGGTCTAACTGTGGCTTTAGGCCACAGTGCAAACTTCTGTGACACGACATAGTATTACAAGGCCTAGATTTGGAACTGACTTATATAGAAATATGAAATGGGTTTTATTGAACCGTCCTGTGCTGATAAGCTTTTACACCGTGTACCCATATTCTGCTTTCTTTTTCCGACACTGACTGATGTGTATTTGGGATGTTCTTTGAGAAAGGCTGTGACGCTTATCACTCTTAAATTGAAAAAGTAACTGAAATATATGCTTGTCGTACTGCTGTGCACTATTCATTTGAAATAATATATTTGGGATATAGAGCCATCAGTTTCTTGTAGCATTGTTGGATTTCTGGGGAGAAGCTGCAGGTTGCAAAGCGTTACACAGTGACCAAGACATATGTTCACATGGACACATCAGTATTGTTTTGGCAGACTCAAAATATACCAAAGCTAAACTATCTTTTAAAGGTTCTGTGTGTTGTTCATTTAAAAAAGTAAATAAATAAATAAAAATAACAAAAAACTTCTTATTAATGACACCAGTAACTATCCAGGGCATTGCAGTCAGCATCAGTTTATGCACGTGCCTGCACTCCCTTAGTAGGCGCAAGATAGCATCCCTGTTGGTATAGTCCGACTATAAACTATATTTAATACTGTGGCCTATATTTAATCGTCCAGCAGTGACACATCACTAAAATACAGTGTGGAAATACTGACTATATAAGTCTACAGTTTGACCTGTGTTATTTTTTCCCTCTTTTATCCCTCCATGAATGGAATGCCCAGTTGATGTAGACCCTAGTTTTCCCCCTTCATGGCTCACATTCCTGCTTGTGCTTATGAGAAGTTTGTGTTGGAGTCTGCGTTGTGCTGGGAGTTGGTCATTTGTTGATGTTAGCAGACTCCATTTCTAAGCTAGCACTGGCTAGCGTTGCCCCCCATTGGTGCTGGGGTGGAGTTGAAGAGAGGCATCAAGGCAAGGCTCCTCAGAGGCAAACATAAACATCACTTCCTTTGGATTTTCACAGAAAGTCAGTCCCCAGGCTGCGAGAGGCAAACAGGAAACTCATGGGAGGTCTCATTTTTTGGACTTTTGTTGCAATCTGTTCACACATTGATTATAAATATACAATTAAACATTCTTACACACAGTACTTTCAATGTTGTAGTCATATTGGAGGTTACTTATTATGACCAGTAGGCATTCCAGCAGGACCATCATGTTGCAATGATGTATCATAGTGTTTAATCACAGTATGATATTTCATTTTGTTTCTGTAAAGTTTCCTTTTGAATATCAAAGGAACAAGATATCCTCTGTACTCCAGCTGACAATGAACAGGAGTACAATGACTTAGAAATGCTGGTGGCATAAAGGTCTCACAACTCTTGGATGGTTCGCACATGATGTGGTGAATTCTATTCAGAAACCTGTAACCTTTTCTTCAGCGTCACAAGCAGGTCAACTTATACACTTGTCCGGTGAAATGTCTGTACACTTACTTTGGTGACCCTCACAACATTCTTGTCCAGTACCAGCCACCATGAGGTTGATGTTAGTGGTTTATTGGAAAATATCTTAATAACTGTTGAAAGGGTTGTCATGAAATTCCACAGACACCTCCTTGTCCCCCTGACGAGAAACTGTATCCATCATCATCAGGTTTAAATTTCAGTACTTGTAGTTGTAGTTTAATTTCTATTCTTATCTTTAATTTATGAATTGATGATTTTTTCTTTCCTTTTTCTCTTTATGTGCATTCATTTTTGTTCCTGTGCCTCTACAACACCTGGATTCCTCTTTCAGGATCAATAAATCTTAGCAAATTGCCACTTGGCTGCACGTCGCCCTGTATGAATGCACTGTGCAACATTTAATGGCTGAGCGAAAGGGTTTCACATAGCAGTAATCTCACTAAGTCATGGACGGTCATTCTATATTTGTTCTGTGGCAGGAATTCAACGCGATCGAATATATTTGGAACTGCTTTTGAGACCTACATCTACTCGAGCATTTGCCTCTAGACCTGTCCTGTCCTGCTTTCTCTGTGTGTTCGGGGGATTATTCATTATGTGAGTGTCCAAGAGTGACTCAGTGACATTCACAGACTCTGACAGTGAGTGAGGCAAGATTCGGGAGGAGAATATTCAGCAGCAGCTCCAACTGTGTAGCTATCAGAATTATTCCAATTTATTGGTTGGTCGATATTTTCGGCTGATGTTAGCCTTTCAGAAATACATCAGTACCTGCCTCTATTTCGTTCAGCGGGCACATATAGAATTTTTTTTTCCCCTTTTTTTTTTTTTTTTTTTTTAACGGCATAATGCAGAAAAAGAAGCTCGGGCTAATGTAGAAAAGGTGTCTCTATATAGTTGTCCAGCAGAGGGGCTCCATTGTTTACTGTCAGCATCGTTTGCAGCACATGTAGCAGAAAACATATCGCAGCTTGTGCAAAATCACATCATTTCGATCGCTCGTTGTTCACGGCACGTGTGAACGCAGACAAGGCTGTGTCTGTTGTCTGTTCGGTACATACAGTCCTGTTCCTTTCCGCTGCATCAAGCCATCTGTAGCCACTGTCAGTCTTGTCACAGTAACCCCCACGGAGTCAAAAATGTTAGCAATTCCATTATGAAATCTTCAGTGAGTTAATAGGTCCAAGTGACACACAAGGGCAGAAATGCGGCCTCTGTTGTGGAAACTCCTTGAGAGGATTTGTCAAGGCAAAAGGTGAAAGTTTCAAAAGTATTCCTAAAAGTAAAATTTCCACTGGACCTTATCACCTTATATGCAAAGATCCACTATAAAAAAGCATCTAAACGATAAGAAGGTGCAAGAATCCTCTTACTCATTGTCTTCATTTGTATATTGCAACACAATGTTATTGTGTTATCATGATTAATTCACCATTGATTATATTTATTGTATCGTCTGCCTTTTGTCCAAGATGCTCTGAAAGTCATTACACGAGCGTCTGTCTGCCGTTACCTTGAAGATACACTCTATCCGGTAATACACTGGGGGAATTCTGGGTTTCGTCACTTGGCGTGTAGTTACATCACATACCTTTGACCTTGAGCTGGGAAGTAAATCAAAAGGTTATTACGATGATAGGTCAGCGTATGTGTGTGTTTGTGTGTGTGAGTGAACGATCAAAGTCCATTCTTAAGTAGGCCTGGGCTATAAAAAGATAGCAGTATGTACTGTTAAAACACACTTCTACCCCAGTAGAATGTTTAATAGTTTCACCTAAATGCAACAGATATGAAAACACATAACAGAAATACAAAATTCAGCCTCTTCGTCCTCTGTCGCTGCCCTCTTGGCTGCCGTGCAGGTGTCCTGAGGCGCCCTAGTCTTAGCCTTGGCTTCTTGTTGCCTCAGCCTTTCCCCTAGATCCCCCCGTGGTGACGGGTTGCAGGACAGCAGAACCTCCACCAGGATACCAGGTCCTGGGTCAGACACTCAGAACTTTAACGTCCGGGTTTTACTTTAGTTATTTAATATGCATGAAGGTGAGCTCATTCCTTTAGTCCGATTTATGTGTGTGTATGTGTGTGTCTTTATTATTGCTGTGGTAACATTAAAACTATTGCCTTTGCACCTTGATAATTATGCTAAAGTGGTTAAATTCAAAGTGGAAGTGGATCTTTTTCTCACAGCTGAAGCAAAACAAACGTAGTGATATAAAATGTCATCAGTTGAACGACATGTGAGCAACCAGCACCGCATCAAAAACTCAAAGCAGTAAAAACTAGGGAGAGTTAGTTGTTGAGCTCATTTTTACCGGCCAGCAAACCTACAGTGCCAGCTGCAGACACCATCCTTTCCTTGGTGGAGCTGGACCCAGTACCTGCTGCTGCGGCTGCTTGCATAGAGGTGGCTGGGATGCAATCTGCTTGTCAGATCGGTGGAGAATGGGAGTTCTCAGAAATAGGAAGGAGAGACGCAGTTGTCACTATCTCTCACACCTGCTCTACAAGCTGCTACACAAAAAGCCTCTACTGCAAAAAATAAGGAGGGATGGTGTTATTCATATTCTATGAAATCAGCCTTTGCTCTGGATAGTGTGTAAGAAATCATGTGATTGTCCTTTGGACACAGTCTACAGTCATAAGCATGAATGCCCTCCTTTGCTGATTGGCTGGAATGGTTTCTGAGACACTTTGTTTACCCCCTTTTAGAGTCAGCACTGTGTACAATCTCCAGCTTTTTTATTTTCAGTGCACCCACACAACAGATAGTTAGCAGACTATGAGGAGATACCAACTGAACAGGAAGTGTTTTGGATTAGAATGAGGTCATTAGAATGACCTTTAACTCTCCTTTTGTGTTTGAGGTCAGTGGGAGCTCTCTGGCTAGAGAGGAGTTAAAATTGACTCGGGCCCGTACTGGCAGGGAGGATTTTTCTGACTTGCTGTAGTAGTTGTCAGTGACCACCAAATACAAAACACAGGAGCCACTATGGTTTGTCTGACCTAAAAGTGTCAACAGGTTGTTTGTCAGATTGCAATAGTAAAATCCAACAACTCTGACGCTGCTTTCTAACCTTTCTTTTCATTCTCTTTGTCCTCCCAAAGTGGGGTTGGGTGGCCATGGACCCATTCAGCCAGCTTATCCTCACCATCTCGGTGACCAGCTTCCTCACCTTCCAGTGGCTCTTCCACAAAGTCAGCCCCTGGATGTCCATACGCATCAGTCCAGGCTTCCTCGGCCTCAGTGACAAGCAGAAGGTGGAATGGAACTCAAGGTGACCTGACATTACCTCATGACAAGTCCAAGTGTTTACATCCTGTGTACAGCAGAGAGTGTGACATTGCTTTTCAGCTCAGATGCTGGCTAGAAGCAGGGGGGGTCTTTAGCCGGGTTCAAAGACATGCACTGACATTCAACCCACATTTTCCCGTGACACTAATATGTGACTCATACGTATGATGCATTGTGTGTTTCACAATGTTTGCTCTTCCTTCTGCTGCTTCAAGGTTCCAGCAGCCTTGTGGAAACTCACTGGATTTGTGTTTTTTTTTTCTTTTTCTTATTTGTGTTTAACACATTTGGGCTTTTTCTATAAATTTATTTGTTTAAAAAAGTTGCTTTTTGCATCTATGTTTCATGCTTATCATTTACATTGGGTATTGCAACATTTAAGTCTCCAAATTCATTGCAGACATCAGTAAACAAACCCAGAGTATAAAGTCCTTAAGATTTCCATCTCCCAATGTTTTAGCAATAGTTATCGGCTAATTTGCTATTTCTTCAAAAACCTTTCCTCATGCTCGTGTTCACCACTTATCTACAAAAATCACACGATATTAAGCATGCATGTGTCAGTAAAAACAAAAGTAAATATTACGTTTTTTTTAGCCAAACCATCCACTGTGAACATCTATTCCATTGTGAACAGATTCTTCCTGTGTCTTTGGCCTGTTGTAACTGTGTACACATTTTTAACATCCATTTATCCATTTTGGATTTGCACAATGTTTTTCCACATCCCCCAGTGAGAAAAATGTAGTAAATGAAGTGCATAAGGTGTAGAATAATCTTCCTGTAACGTTCACATCATCCTGGGCTTCATTTAATCATTTGATCAGGAAACATCCAAACGTGCTGTTTCATCTGCTGTCTGTTATAAGGGTCTATCGGTTTCTGGCTAGACCAAATAGACTGTCGGAAAGATAGTGTTTGCACCTTGAGTGACGCAGATGGACTGCTGTGATCTTGAAGCGCTGTGACAACTGTGAGCGCTATAGATTGAAGGCCAGTGGATGTCCAGGGAGGAAAGAATGTTCACAGTGATCCAGCCTGGCCCAGCTTGCGTGACTCTCTCATTTTCATTTCCTCTTGTACTCCGTTTATGACTCATGAGAGAACTTGTGAAATTGAAATGGGCGCATAGTTTAGGAGCAAATGAAAATGAATGATTAGTGGAGACGGATCCAGGCTATGGGGATCCCTGTTGATGTCCACGACTTTACAGATTCTTTCCAAAGAGTCAATGTTGCTGTCACTCTGTCTTACTGACTGATTGCTAAGAACTGTTGGACTGTCTCACTGCTTGAATGACTGACTGGGACTGTGTGCCGCTCTGCCTGACCCTTCAGCAGTATTTAATCTCTCAGTCTAATTGGTCTGAATCTGTGTGCAGCCCTGACAGGCAATCAGTTGATCCACTGTGAGTACTAAAAATTCCACTCTCTCAACTGCAGAGCAGCTCAGGGGGGCACTTCTCATGAATAAAGATAAAAGTGCTGGAAAAATTTTGACATGTGTCAACATCTGCTTTTGTCAAATAGGAGTAAATCATCACGGCCATTTGTGTTTTGTTTTTTGTTGTTTTTTTGTTTTCTTTTTTTATTTCAGGACGGTGTCGACATTTCATGCACTGTTGGTGGGAATATTCTGTCTCTACATCCTGTTCTTTGATGATGCCGTCAATGAAGACCCAGTCTGGTGAGAGTTTTCGCTGTGAATCCCTTGTGTTCAACCTTTACTTTTCAAACTTTTGGTTTATTTTATACAGAGTGGTCATGGTTTACAGGGATCTAGAGTGGAAACAATAATCCGTCAAATGTGACAGCACATATTCTTTGGTCGCACCAGTGCACCTGACTTGTATTTGGGTTTCAACTGAGGTAAAATTCACATTAGATCATCTTATTTAACTCTTGACTCTTTTCAAACACATTTTTGGCCACAAACCTGTGTGAGTTATTTGCACTGCAGGAACCTAGGAGAACTATAGGCTCCTCTGTCCACCTGCCTTGTATCGTCTGCCAATGCATGAGAGGCATTTAGGCAACATCAGTAAATTGTAAACTACCAATGGTCTGCATCTGAGATGTTTAAGGCACGTTGGTAAAATGTAGCTTCAGAAAACAACCTGGGTCAGACTCCCCCTCTCTACAATTGCATGAACCTCTGTATGCACATCGGTCATGTCATGCCACCAACCACCACAAGTAAACTCTCAACCTATGGGAAACTTTAAGACGCAGTAAAACAGCCAAAGTTACACGTTGCATTTATTACAGAGAGTAGCCAAAGCATAGCTTGGAACAGAACAGTGCATTTGCTATCAAGGCATTGACATTCTGCACCAGAAATGCTGGTTCTCCCAGACAATTGTTTAAAAAAAAAAAAAAAAAAAAAAGATTAAACGTACTAAACATTTAACTGCACCCGTTTAGTCAATTGCCTGATGTGAAATGGAAATACTGATCAGTGTGACAAAAAAGCAGTCTTTAAAATATATTATTTACAGTGAGAAATTGTGGGTGCATTTAAATCCAATGCTGCTAAATGAAAAAGATAGGTACACCAGTGAAATCAATGTACAATGTTTGTGTGGAGCTGTGATTCAGTTACCGTAACGCACAGCAAATCTGCAAGACTTTGAACTCATTCTCTTAATTTCGAAGAGGTGTGGATGGCAGTTTCTGGGTTTCCAAAGAGTTTGGTGGTTGGTATCTATGTAGGAGTGGAAAAATCTATGTCATAGAAAGACGTTCCATGTCTGAGCATAATTGCTCTTGCGTAGCAGGACAGCTTATCAGCTCTGGCGTCATAGTAGTGTTCTAAATGTTTAAATGTTGCTTCAAAGATTACTCAATTACAATGTGTTCACTTTTAAGAGGGAACAAGATGTGAAAACTAGGACTAACATTACATGACATTGTAACACTTACGTGCAAGCCCTGTAAGTGGACATATAGTAACTGAGTAATCTCTGAAGCAACATTTTGATTGTGTAGTTATTTAGGACACTACTATCAAACAAGAGCTGATAAGCTGTCCTGCTATGCAAGAGCAATGATGCCTTTATTTTCATGTCTTCTACAAGGATTAACTTGAGAGGATGCCTATGTTTTGTTTGGCACAGGTAGCCTTGGTTTTAGTCTTGTAGCATTATACAGCATATGAAACCGTAAAGGCCACATTGGCACATTTAAGACCTTTTTTAATGGTTGTTGTTGTCAAACAGCTGGTTTTGTTTTGTTGTGTTCTGTTTGTTTCCCAGTCTTTCTATCATTACCTCGAATTTTGATTGGTAAATCTTCCGTTGTTACTGATGTAAACGTGCCGTGTTAAACTGTAAAGCTTGACAGGTTGTAGGAGCTTAGTGAGGCTTAGTGAAGGATACGTTTTCTGTAGTTAAGTCATAAGTCTGGCCTGTGTTTGACGGAAAGACTGACAGAAAGGTTCTTGCAACCAAAATATTAAATTTTTCAACACCTACACATTGAGACTTGCGTAGTCACACAGCCAATCCAACCAAATGTGTTTGTTTTTTTTCTATAGGGGAGATCCTACACTGGTGAAGACTAATGTTGCCATCACAACAGGCTACCTCATATCTGGTAAGAGAAACATGCAGCTTATTCAGGTAATGTTTGAGAAGGTATCACTGCATAAAATACATGTAAGTGGTAATAAGATCTAACAAACTTGATGCTGAGATGACTCACTTGACTGTTTCAGCTGCAAATTAGAAATAAATGAAGTATATGCTTGTACACTATCAATTTTTATGCACTGTCATTGCTTTGATTACATCAGTGACATGTTTGCTCTTTTCCCTTCTCCTTCTGTTTTCCAGATCTGCTGCTAATATTTTACTATTGGAAGGCGATAGGCGACAAGTTTTTTGTAGTTCACCATCTGGCAGCGTTGTATGCTTACTACTATGTACTGGTGAGTGCCCTATTGTCCAATAGCAGAACGTGCAGGCAAGATGGGAAAGAGACAACCAAGGGTGAACAGTTGCGTCCTGCTAAGCTGAGTGTTTTAACTCATCTCGCCACCATTCAGTCAGAGTCTACGGCTGCTCCCACGCAGCCATGGATCTTATATGGGTTAGTTAAATATGCACAAAGCAAGTTCAGCGCGGTCAGTGTCTGTACAAGAGATGAACCCAAAAACTGTGCAAATACATCACACAAGGGAGCCTTATAGATGGTGATTATTTACCTCTTTATTGCTGTTAGTCAATGAAATAAGTGAGGAAGTAGTGAACCCCTTCAATTATGAATTGTTGTACCGTTGTCCACATGAGACAGGTCTTGTTAGCCTATGAAGGTGACATATTTGTTACTTCTTGTGTTTTTGTTGGCTGAAGTAAAAAAACAAAAAAAAACACTTTAAATGATATTGTGAGGGTGGTAGGAAAAACACTGATCATCTTAAGAGGTTTCAATTTGCTTTGATCTTTCATTCGGGTTGAGCCAATATAATGTGAAAACACTCTTAACTAGGAGAATGATGATTGACCCGTGTGATTCACCAGATCGGCTATTTGGTATGAAGACTGCGTTAATATCATTCCTATATCATTTTTATCAACTATGGGTATTGATATTACCCTTATAATGACTTTTTTTTAAACTCACCTCAGGTACTGATTAGTAACTCATTGGTTTTTGCTGTCACTAGCATACAGCTGGGCTCTAATCTACAAGTGGCAATAGTCGAGTGTATTCAGCGTTTATGGGCAGCACTGTTCACTCTTGGTTCAATCTGAAACCCTCTAGGTCGCCAGGATCTGTCGCATAATTCCAGGAAATGAATGACTATGGTATTTTTTGCATGGAATGCTCAGTGATGGTACTGGCTGATGACCCCTCCCTCCCCTCTCACCTTGCCCTTAAATTCTCTGTGCTTTCTGTTTGTTTTACTGACCCCCTCCCCCTTTTAAATGTTGTGTGATTCTGACATAAGCTGAACCTTTCTGAGCTTAGCACAGCTGAATGCTCAACTGTACCCACTGTGTGCATGCTGGTAGTACTGAAGCGTTCTACGCGGGCAGGATTCCTTTCTTGTTACTGTGCATGCCAACAAACATATTTAACTAATTACTCACCTGCCTATCTACAGTACGCTCCGCCTGTCTGTTTTTTGTGCCAGAGCCTAGGTCTGCCTCCTCTTTCTCTTTCTTACACTCCAGTCCGAGATGATAAAGTTCTTCAAGAGATAACTAGGCCCTTTTTCCCAATATCATGTTGAATGTATTTTGCCAGGTCTACTTTATGAGTTCGAAACACTTAGAGATATTGTTGTTAATGCTCCTTATAGGTAGTCTTTTCCTTTAGTTGAGTTCAGATTGTTCCCTCACAATAAATGTAGGGGACATACAGTGTGCATTGCTCTGCCCCGAGCCCCCAAACCTAAAACAGTTTTTTTTTAATTTAAAAAAAACAAACCATGTAGCTTACATTGCGATGTACCAAAGTCTTTGTTTAAATCAAAGCAGCACAATGGGCTTTTTATGTCAACCACATGTTTAGTGGTAACCATACTGTTCAGATTTCCATCTTACTTCCTTCTATATTCCAGCTACCTGCTGGATCTGCAGATATGTTTTTTGCTACTTTAATGTGACACATTATAATTTCTTTTGCTTTTTTCGTCCATCTTCATCGCATTGTTAATAATAATATTAGCAATTAATACAAAAATAATAACGCAACAGTGTCACGTGCTTGGATTTAAATGATGATTTACAGTGGCCTGTAAATCCAGCCTTTCATTTGTAGAAACAGAGCAAGCACCTGTATCTGTAAGAGCTAGTTAGATGAGATGAAGTAGGCCATACTGTTACTGGACACTCATGACTGTTTCCTCAGACTAGATCTGAACTTTATGTGTGGATAACAGAATGAATGTTCCACATTAATCAACTGTGGTGGGGGAAAAAAAAGAAACACACAAACACACACATTGCGAGCCACATTGTTGTAGCCACTGGCTGTTAAATCCCAATAAAATTGGCAAACCCTTGATGTCGTTTTCATTTTATTTAGTTATGTACCCAGTCAGAATTGTCATATGTTGTTAAAGTCTTCTTAGTTAATGTGTTGAATGTGTTTATGTGGAAGTGTTCATGTCAAATACTTAAATTCTACCTATAAATAAGAATATTAAACTCTGCGGCACACAGCCAAATTAAGGACTAATTAAATCTACTGTAGAGCTGGGAAATCTGCATTACACAAAAATACAACTTAGCTTAATTTCACAATCTTGTTGCTGTGTTTTTATTATTGATTAGCCATGATTATAAGAAGTTATGTTTTTATTTTTTTTATTTTTATGGCAGCATAATTTGTCTTCTGTGTCTGTGTTGTCAAATAATCAAAAAGATTTTTTTTTTTAAAAAAAACAAAAAAACTTGTGTGAATATTAGACGCATGCTTTCTTCTCAGTGTTGTAAGTGTTGCTTCTTATTTGCTTCCAAATGTTGTGGCTTTTTTTTCTTTTCTTTTCTTTCTTTTTTCTTTTTCTTCTAATATATCTGTCTGTTTGTCTTTGTGTCCTTTGCTGACTTTAACATAAATAGCCCCCTCTTCAAACCCTACATGCAAAAACTACCAAGATCGAGTTGGGTTGTGTCATCCACGTTCATGCAAAAACTACCAAAAGGGTTGTGTGTCATTTCGAAACCCGGAGCAGGTCTTGATCTAGATGGGGACTTCTTCATTCCTGTCTTGTCTGCTGTTATTGCTGTTGTGTTGTACTGAGCAGATATGATGCCCAGTCACAGTATGGACTTACCAGTTCCTAGAGGTACTAGCATCCTCATGCTAGGTGGAAGGTTTACATCAAATGGTACATAAACTGCAATGCAGATATGCTCTGTTTGTGTCACATAGTAAGTATGTTCCAATGACCGACTTTTGTTTCAGGACTAGGGGTAAGTATTCTTGCACATGCCGTCAAAAGTCGGGCTGTTGACCAAAAATCTCGAATTATGTGTTCTTTGTGGGTGTTTTAGTGAAATTGAATACTGTGATTTTATTTATTTGTTTATTAATTTTTATCTTAATGTAGATTTTGACTTAAGTTCCAAATTTGTAGAGTGGAGGGCACAAATCACAACGCTTGATCTCACTAATGCACTTTTCAATCAGAACTCATAATGTACATTTTAACGCCATCATTTTTATTTTAGAAAAAGTTCTGCTGATTTAACAAGGTTGGACAGGTCAACAGTGTTTAAGATTGGGTGTCCTGAAAACATGTAGGTTTTAAGATGACCTTCATTCTGTTTAACAGCAGCTAAACACTATGCAAACAAAAATGGAAGCAAAGTCATGGAAGCTTATCATATTGTTGGATTATTTAAGCAACTTTTTTCCAGGACATAAACTACCACCGGTGGTTTCTGCATTTAGGAATTCTGATCAGGTGTTGCTACAAATATTGCTGGTTTCATTCAGTCACAGGCACCTTGTAGCTTTGTTTTAGCTCAGCACAGGGTGTACAGATGTGCTGAAGAAAGTGGAATTCAGGACCTGATCTTGTAAACAATGACATGTTTGGCAGTTAAACATATTGCTTTTTACTCTGCATGGCTTCTGATTGCTCCTTCGACTAGTGGCTGGCTGAATGTTTGTATAGTTGTACAGTATATGTATCATGTGCTGTGTTGATATCTGCTCAATATCTTTCAATGTCGGGATGTCATTCGGATGAATTCATTTGTGTGTTACAAAATGTTTCTCTCTTTTTCCGGTGAAAAGACAAAATGTGAGCAAGCAATGATTCACTTATAGTTCGTTTTATGGATGATTTGGTGATTATTATCTCAGGAAATGCAAAAATATCTCATTTTATGTATGCATTTTTGCATGTTGCCCCTTGAGTTTTGTAGTTTTTAGGGGTTGTTGACTGAGATGCTGATAAGAAACTGATGTTTGGAAACTTTGTAGGGGAAAGAAGCCTTTATTCCCTCACTAGACGTGATTCCAGTGTTGGCCGGTGAATCTGTCTGTCTATTGAAATAGAGCTACTGGCCAGATTAACCTTAAATCTGATGGTTATATTCTCTAGAAGAATATTTATTGCGATATTTAATTCTGTAATTAATTGCCTCATCAACAACCAAACAAAAAAACACTCTAAAGGTTGATTTCCATTAAAATTGACAGTGGATATTCAGTCTCCAGAGGATTTTTCTCATGCTTCGAAGAGAATAAATCGTTTTTCGTTTTGAACAATAGTTCCATTGTCTTGCCAAAATGTCAAACTTAAACACCAGATATGTGATTGATTGATTGCCATAAAATGTGCTTCATTCCATCTCCTGGATTTAAAAACAAACACAAGTCTTGTGGTGAATATATGACTTTGATTAAGTTGCAGTTTGGTTGCAGATAAAAATCTAAAGTTCTGAGGCAATTAATCTGTGACTTTGTACATCGCAGGTTCTTTATGCTCCCTTCAGAGCGAGGAGGAGTTTCTGTTCACAATAAATGAAGTCATTTCTGAAGAGGAATTAGAGCTGACAGTCTAAATTGGCCTGTAAAACTGAGGGTATAATCTTGTCCCCTGACGGATCAGACTCTTTTGTTAGATCTGCCATTTGTGTCCTAAATTGGTGAGGGCTTCGTATAATATTAGGCCTGAGTTCCCCCCTACCAGTAGAGTCTTTCTTTACATTTTGAACTGCATAATAAAATGTCATATAGTTGTGATGTGGTGAAGTTTTTGAATCTTTTTGTGGGTGTGACTGCTAGTCTGCTCCTCTGCTACTGATGAGAAATGCTGTTTGTGTGGAGCAGGTGGTGCATCGGCTTCATGCCTGCTGATCCAAATGACTCGATGTCTTGTTTTTGTCCCTTTCATGTTTTATTTTCTTCCTGTTCTTACCTTATTTTTTCAGGGCCAAGGAATGTTGCCTTATTTTGCTAACTTCCGTCTGCTTGCTGAGTTTTCTACACCATGTGTGAACCAGCGGTATGTACTTGCTTACTAATGACCTAGGTTTTCAGGTATTTTTATAGGTGACATTTCTGCACTTCTTTTGGTTTTGATTTTCAAGTCCTATGCTACAGCACATTCAGTTTACATGGTGCTATGTTGAAGTGCCAAGTTCCAGCTTTTACATGTCTAGGTTTCCGACATTATAGATAAATACACTACTGTGGTAAATAAATGTAACTTCTAGCATTTAGTCTCAAGATCAAGGATATTCTACCTTTTCACCCTGAAAAGCTCTTTGCTGTCTTTGGCCATATCTGTAGCGTTGTTTTCCTGCATGTTCTAAATTCATGTTCAGTGGTTTTTTTTCTATACAAATTTATGCAAATTACAGCTGAGACCTGACAATGTTTAATGTTGTGTCATCTATTATATTTCAAATAGAATTTGCTGAATGCTTATTTGATAAAAAGATGATGCTGTTCCTAACATCACTTAAAAGAGAAAATATATTTATTGTAAAGTAAAATTTAAATATGCATATCTTTATCCTTAAAGACACTGTTTTCTTAAAAATGTGTTCTGTTTCAGCTGGTTCTTTGAGGTACTAGGTTATCCCAAGTCGTCCCGGCCCAACATGGCGAATGGCGTTGCCATGGCAGTAGTCTTTTTCATGGTCCGCATCGCCGTCATGCCAGTCTACTACAGTCGCATGTATGCAGTCTACGGCACCGAGGCCTTCTACCTGGTGCCCTGGGGTGGCCGTGTAGCCTGGATCTGCTCCAGTATCTGCTTGGACATCATGAACGTTATGTGGATGCATAAGATTGCCCGTGGTTGCTACAGGGTGCTGCGCTCAGCACGCCAGAGCAAAGCTGGCACACCTCAGGAGAACGGGAAGACGGATTAAGGGAACCAGGGTGTCAGTGGTGAGAAAATGCCACAACCACAATCTCAGTGCATTGATGAGTAGCAGTTTGGACCCTTGCATGTCAGGCTGCTTCAGTAGCAGCACATCGTGGACTTGACATTAAAGGACCGAATGTAATGAGGGAAAATGAGATTTTTTTTTTTTCTTTGGGAACCAGGTGCAGTCACTGAGATGTACTGATGGACCATTTAACTGGCCATCCCTAAGCCATGAAATATGACCTCTCAGCAATACTCTGTGTGCATGGCCAATTATTTTTCTCTTGAACAATTTACCACTATAAAAAGAGGTCATCCTGGGACAAAACGGACTGTTAGCCCAGCCACAAATTGTCAAAAAGTTTACCGTTCTTTACATACTTAGTGCTCAACAGAAGACTTTTTCTTTTTGTATTAATACTGCTGCCTGAGTTGCAGAATAACAAAAAAAAAGGGAAAAAATGAAATAAAAGTTAATGTTGATGATGAAGCAAAGATTTGAAGGAATCTCCAAAACATTCAGTGATTCCACATTGATGGTCATCGTCACAAAATCACTGTCAGACGCCTGTCGAGAGGTGGAGACGCAGACAGATCCCATTAAGTGCAAAGAAAGAGGTATGAATTGTATCACTCACCTGCTGTCATTTGATTAAGAGGTTTATTAAAGAAGTCAGTCTTTTAAAAAAAACATGTTTATTGGAATATCACAAGTCTCGGTTGCATCTGCATGGTTATTTTAAATAATGTAGGGTTGAGCAGGCATCGGTGTCAGTATGTCGTTTATTTCTTTTGTCTTGCTGGGGTCGAGGCAAAGAGTTTTTAAAGACACAAACAATGTTTTAATGAAAAGTGAGATTAATTTACAGAGTACCTTGGAAATGTAAAAAAGGGAAACAGAATGTCTTCATGGATGTTAAGCAGTTCAGGAGCAGAATTTTGAAGTATCGAGGCCTCATCTGATTTGTTCATCTGCGTGATTTGTGCATAACAGTCATATACTTCACAAAATAGGGAAAAAGGTATCGCACTGCGTAAGCTAATGTATGTTGTTGACGCAGTTTTGTCACCATATTTATTTCACAATGTGCAGTGCATGTGGAGGGGTGAAACTGGCCTGACATGACGCAGGTTGGTATGTAGTCTAGAAATCTTTTAAAAGAGGTTTAGTAGGAGATGTTAGCAGGATTCTGACACTCTTTTCATCAGTCATTGACCTGACATTTATAAAGCTTTCATACTTTCTATTTATGATATCTTTCAAGGCACCATTTTACCCCACTCGCCAACGAGCTGCATGCTACGGTGTGTGTTTTACATGAAGGAATTTTTTTTCAGCCAGTAAATTCAATTCAGCAAAGAATCTCAGAAGTTGTTTTCTGCAGTTTTTTTTAGTTTTATGTGAGGTCACAGGTGGTAGTCGGTGTTTCAAATGGTATATGTGGGGGGGGAAAAAAATGATTGATTTTGAAGATTGTGATTCAAACAGCTTTTGTTTGCCTCATGTTATATGTGATTTCCAATCACCTGATGTACATTGTGTTATTTCGTATTTATTCGGTGGGCTGATATAGGGTTTGTGTGTTCTTTCTTTCTCTCACATGGAAAATTTGTCCAAATATACATGTTCTGATTGTTTTGGTTGCCATCGTTCTACTGGCGAAACAGTTTCACGTCATACAACACAAGTCAGTTCCAAGGTTGTTGTTTTTTTTGTTTTTTTTTTTAAAGACAAATGTGTCATTTGTTGGATTTTAAAGTTCTAATTCACAGATGATTTATGATACGTACTTGAATATTCATTGTAGATGTATCTTTTACATGAGCTGTACATCAAAAGCTTCTGTCAAATGTTTCGTGACACAAACAGGGATTGTTTTAAAGTATGCCTTTTGCTATGCTCAGCATTTGATTTCGTTGCCTTTTTCAAACAACGTATGATTGCACAGTGAATATTTTTGTTACACCCAACTCCTCACGTCACTGAAAGTTGTTTTTCGGTGATTTTCTTGTGTGCTCTTCCATGTCTGATGCCTGTTTTAATGTGATTGTTTGGCATTTGTAATATAGTTGCAAATGTAAAAGTGAGAGGCTCAGTAAGGCTGGTTTGCTTTGGTGATTTTTGTTTTGTTATGCTTTTTAAGATTTCAGAACTTTCTGTATTTGTGCCAGTGCTTAAGCCATTACTAGACTATGGTAAATGCATACAGTGTTGCCATGGGTTGATTCTGTTTTGTATTTGTTGTTTTGCTCTTCTCCCCTTTCCTTTTTCAAAAAAATACTTTTTATACAACCGTGCCAATTTGCAACCATGATTTAGTGGTTCTGAATGATTCTGTTCTCTGCATGCTGTGGCGAGTCACAGTATCACAAGGTTCAGTTTAGTGATGTGCGTCAGAACAGTGCGAGCGACTCATTGCAGTTGTACCGTTGATTACTGGCTGGCAAAAGAAGCAGGAGGAATTTGACAGCTGATCACGGGTGGATGCCATCTATGCCACAGGTGAAGATCACCATCTCGCATCCTAGAAAACAGCGACGAGGTGTGTCAATCGAGTGTTTGTGTCAGGACAGCAGACCACTTCAGGTAGAATCAGGGTAGGCTGTGTGTGCAAGCTCATGCATGGTGAATATGGTCTTCTTCATGCACCTTCTATAACTGCATGTGGTATTGCATGGGGATTGCACTGTAAACAAAATAGCATATACATTTTGCAAGATGAATTTTTGTTCTTTGTTTTCTTTTTCTTAGTACATGTACATAATGTTTACTTAAACGTTATTCTTGTACTGTGCCACATAATGTAATCCACAGATGATAACAATGATGTGACGGTAACATCATAAAGCAGATATTTAGTCTAATATCCAGCACAGAAATAATCAGTAAGGGAATACTTGAATACTAATCAGCACAGTTTATAACAATCTGGGCAGTGCAAATAAACATTAATCTTATGAGCATCTTGCATTACATGTGTACCATTGTTTTTTTTGTTTGTTTTGTTTTGTTTTTTTAAATTTATTAATCCAAGACAAGCTGACATGAAACAAAGCAAGTGCCATGGTAACGGAGAGCCTGGTGCTGCTATCAGCTTGTGAAACTGGTGTTTCTGTTCCTACTGTTGTTTGGAGGAGATACATGAGTAGGTGGAGTGTTTAGTGACATTCTATGAATGTACTGGAGAGGAGAAAATATTTGTCATTTACATTTTCATTTATTCTTGACAATAAATACCAAATTAACTGCTGGTAATGTGTCTTATTTTAAGTAAGGAAGCTTTTGGCACATTTGTGGAAACATTTAAGAGCGCCTTAATGTCTTAGAACATGATCACAATCATAGTTGCAGGATGTTGCATGTTAACATAGAAGTTTGATCAGTATTACAATGACTTGAAGACATAATTGTCATTGTTTTGCGTCCAAGATACACATTATTCACATTATGAGAATGCACTTTTTTCTAGCAACAATTACAGTGAATCATTGGGTACAATCTCTTGAAGGAAACTAAACGCTCAAAACATCTCTAAAACTGTCAATACCATCAACTTCTATCTTTTGAGTACATAAAGAGACAGAAGTTAGTGTAATATGCCCTACATGAAACTATATAGTCTCAATGTATTCATAGGTGCTACAACTGTAACACATAATTGCTTATCTGAGCCACTAGATGACAGCATTGTGCTGTTGCTATTTCACTTCCCTCTGTCCTCACTTGAGTCCTATGGTGTTTAGTTACACAGCTATCACATTTGGTTAAGCTTGATTTTAGCTTTTCATCACTTACCGCTATTAGAGTCTTGTGAGGCCACTGACGTGATAGCCTAAAGTGTTTTAAGATTTTTTTTTTTTTTTTTTAAAGAGAGAGAAATCGACACATTTGGGGGAATTTGGATTCAGAAATGTTGAACTTTTGTTCTTTGGACAAACTGACTGCCACTGACTCACTACTGATGGTTAAAACTTTGAGGTGCTGCCTTTAGGGGATAGTGATCCCAGGGGTTTGTTTTTCATCCACATTTCTGATGGAAGGGTCTGACTTTGGGAACCTTTTGGGTGGAAACTGGACTAAAATCCACAATAATTCTGTCCAAGTGCAGAGAATTAATTCATCTGCACCTTTATGTTAAACCACTCAGTTAAATTTGTTTACTACTCCTCCTTTGCCTCTACATGTTGCCTCTGCCCTGAACCTTAAGTAAAAGCTGATCTCAGTGTTGGGATGGCACCCAAGCTCCTGCAGCTAAATACTGAGAAGACTGAGGTAATTGTTTTTGGCCCTGGCGCTGTTAATGCTTGTTTATACAAATATATAAGGCTCTCTGTCCAAAAACTTAATCCAAAACTCTCACAACTTTTGAATTCTGTTTGATGAAAGCCTTAGCTTGAGCAAGCATGTTGTCGAGTCTTGTTTTCTGTAGCTCCAGAGATTTTCCCAGAAGAGTTCCATTTAATCCATTATAAAGCTTGAGGTTGTTTTTATTCCATCTCATTTGGCCTGTTTAAACTCTCTTAGGGCATGTTTGAGTTGTCAGATTTTTAATGAATTGTCCAAAATGCTGTAGCCAGACTCCTTACCAAAACTAAAAAAGAGAGCACAATATTGCCATTCAAGACTGTTTGCTAAATTAAGTCAGTCCTTAAAACCTGCTGGAGACCTATTCTTAGAGATAATCTCTTAATGTAAAGTAATCTTATGTTAATCATTCTTTGTTGCTTTGCTTATCTTAGTCCTCATCTGTAGGCATTTTTGCGCAATGTTTCCTTAAATTTCTTTAAAATTGTTTTCGCTGTTGTTTGTTGACATTTTCTTTATTATTGATCTTATAAAGTACTTTGTTTCTGTTGTTAAGTGCTAGTAATTAAGGTTTGTTGTTATTATTATTTAGTATTGTGTAGAAACCACATTATCCGTCACCTGCTTGACGTGACTGTATTAAAGAGATATATACAGGTCTGTGAGAAGGCATCTCCCCCCCATGAATATCTTCTATTTTTGCATATTTATCACTTGTAAAGGTTTCAGCTCATCAACCTAATTTTAATATCAGACAAAGATAACCAAAGAAAACACACAACGCAGTTTTAAAATGATGATTTATTAAAGATACATTAAAGGCCCACATGGTTTGTGATCAGTCTTCATCATCACCATGGAGGAACTCTGGCCCACTCTTGTCTGCAGAATAGTTCTAATTAGATGGTTTTTGATCATGAACTGCTCCTTTAAGGTTTTGCCACAGCATCTCAGTTGGATTGAAGTCCGCACTTTGACCCAACCACTCCAGAACCTTAACTTTGTTCTTTTTGGGCCATTCAGAGGTGGACTTGCTTGCGTGCTTTGGGTCATTGTCATGATGCATAACCCATTTGTGTTTGTGCTTTAGGTCATGAACTTATGGTGGATGTTCTCCAGGAGGATTTTCTGATACAGAGCAGAATTCATGGCTCCATCAGTTATGACAAGTCATCCAGGTCCTGTGGAAGCAAAGCAGCCCGAAACCACCACCGTACCACCACCAGGTTTTACTGCTGTATCATGCTCTCCTTGCTGAATGCAGGATTGGCTTTACACCAGATGTAGCAAGACCCATGTCTTCCAAAAAGTTCCACCTTTGACTCATCAGTCGTCAGGATGTTATCTCACAAGTCTTGGGGCTCATCTACATATTTTTTTTTTTTTTTTGCAAATGCCAGGCGAGCCTTTCTTTCTGTTCTTTTTGGTCAGGACTGGTTTGACCCTTGCAACTCTCCCATGGATGCCACTTTAGCCAAGTGTCTTCCTTATTGTGGAATCATGTACCCAAAGTGAGGCAAGTGAGGGCTGTGGTTCTTTTGATGTTCATCTGGCTTCTTTTGTGGCCTCTTGGTGAGATGTCAATGCACTCTTGGAGAAATGTTAGTGGGTCAGCTGCTCCTCGGAAGCTTCCCCACTGTTCCATGTTTTTCCATCTGTGGATATTGGTTCTCACTGCGGCTCTCTGAAGTCCCAGAGCCGTAACAATGGCTTTGTAACCCTTTCCAGATTGATAAATGTCAATGACTTTGGCATCTGTTGTTGAATCTCTTTAGAATGTGGCATCATTTTCTGCTTTTTGAGACCCTGTAGCCTGTTCAAGTGATGTTTAGATTCATCAAGCCTGGCAGTAATTGTATGTAGGTGTGATGGGGGGAAACTGAACCCAACTGCCAAATGGTAAATGGTCAATGGACTGCACTTATATAGCGCTTTTCTACCTTAGCGGCACTCAAAGCGCTTTACAATGTTTTCTCATTCACCCATTGACACACACATTCATACAACAATGGCAACAGAGCTGCCATGCAAGGTGCTGCCTGCCATTGGGAGCAACTTCGGGTTCAGTGTCTTCCACCTGAGCCACAGCCACCCAATGAATTTGGTCATTTGGTAGGCAGAACATTTCACAGAGCATTGCAGTGCCTCCACTGACTGACATCCCTTCCCCAGGTAAATGAAACTCATATACCTAGCTGTGCACGTGATGTTAAAAAAACTTTAAAAAAACCACGATTCATCAGACCATCTCGCCTCCTCCCACTGCAACGTGCTCCAGTTCTGACGACCATGTGCCCATTGTTGGCACTTTCAGTTGAGGACAGAAGTCAGTATGGACAATCTAACTGGTCTCCAGTTGCACAACAATCTGTGAGGCATCATGTGTTTTGACACTTTTTTCAAAATAATGTTTTTTTTAGCAACTTATGTTACAGTAGCTCTTCAGGGGAATAGAACCACAAGGTGCTTATTAATTGCATGAGTGAGTTCAATGGTTGTTCTTCTTTGGACCACTTTAGTTTCTAACAACTACATACTAGGAACACTCCACAACATCATTTGTCAGGCTCAGTTGAAACCTTACAATTGCCAATATTTCCTCCTTCTAACACATCAGATTTAACAACTTACTGCTCACTTGCTGCCGAATATATTCTAGCCATCTGCAGGTGCCATACCAACAAGACAATCGATGTTATTCGCTTCACCTTTCAATGGTTTAAATGCAGTGTCTGACGAGTACACTTAAGCAAAAAGTAAAGAGGTTTAAAAATGATTGATTTTAACAATTATCTAATTCATGAACTTTACATATCATTGTAACATATTTTTGAAAAGCTGTGTAACCATAATGAGAAAACTACAACAAATTGTACAACATTTGCACAACAATTACTTTGCATTATTGATTTTAACTGTGTTAGGGGACTTTGTATTTAGATTCAACCGTGAGTGTATTTATTCCATGACAGGGGAATTGACGACTTTGCTCACTTGGCTCCACAGAGTGATCAAAGGGCAAGATCACTATCAGGGCAAATACTTCCTTCTTCAGACTGAGGGGCATCTTTCTTGCCAAGGCCAACCTTTCTACCGGTGGAAAACTTCATCTACAAACACACACAAATATATGCACATACGCAGGCTACACACTAAACCTAATGAGGACGCCTAATTTTAGATATTACCGTTGGTTAACAAAACAAACCCTTTTGTACCTCTCATTAAAACACTTCAAAACTTCTTTCCCCTTCTTTTGTGTGTGTTTGTGTGTTTTCCGGAGGGCTGTCTGAGGACATCATACACAGCTCTGTTTACACTTAAACTTAGTCTCATCTTTAGCCCTGAGCTAAATCCTAACTCTCACATTTGACGAGATCCAATGATCAACAAGCGAATTACAGCCTTGTGGTTCGTTATCTGTCTGGATGTTGCTACACATCATTCCAAGATATCTGATTCCTAGAAAACAATGCACGTGTATCTGATATCACAGAATATAAAATAATGTAAGGTCAGTATGGTGCATAGTGTGTGGTCATGTAAGGCCTTGAACCCATGTCAATAAAGGAGATAAGAAAACACACTTAGAATCTGTTATCATAATAAACTCTCTTAACTCTTAAATAACTGTTACACAGCTTTAGTTACCAAGGACGAAAAAAAAAATCTAAAATGTATGTTTTATGTTATTTTGCTTATCCAGATAGTACCAACTAGGAAGTATTCAACTAATTGTATAAAAACTTAAGAAAATTCAACATACCTTTCAATAGAAATAGATTGACAAGTATTGAATTCTGGTCAAAGAAGCCAAATGTATGCAGTTTAGGTAAAGACTAAATGTGAAGATAACGATTTGATGGGATAATTTGTGCAATAGATACTATGCTGTTTTGATTAAATACAGACAATATAGAAAGAGGTAATCGGTTCACTCCAGTTGGATTGTCAGATTAGATTATTTCTTTTTTTTTGTTTGTTTGTTTTATGCCGCAGAGTGTTTTGCTGAGCTGCATGATTTCACTGAAATCTCGAGGTGAAAGCAATAGTTGCGCAATCAGTTAAGATAATCTTTCTTCGTCAGCCAGCATCCGTGCCCGCCCAGCCCCAAGCGAGAGGGACAGCTTTAAAGGGAGTGGTTTTCAAAGTTGCCTGAGAAGCAGTGTTAAGTCCACTACCTACGCGCGTCGTCCTCCGCTCAGGCACCAATTATGTCCGCAAACCTCTGCAAGAACGCACAGGAGAGGCCGGAGCCTGTTAAGGCAGAAATCAAAGGTAAGTCGAGTTTTAACACTTTAAAATGACCTACAAATGTTCTTAATGATTTGCTGAAGTTTCCTTTTTTTTTTTTTTTTTTTTCTGCTGATGTTTTCTTTTCAAACAGGGAATATTCCCAGCTGGCTGCAAGGCACGCTTCTGCGCAATGGCCCGGGCATCTTCTCTCTGGGAGACACCAGTTACGAACACTGGTTTGATGGGATGGCCCTCATGAACAGCTTCACCTTTAAAAATGGTTGGTCTTTCAATTTAAGCCTTGTTTAAGCTACTAAATGCAGAAAAACGTTTACTAAATCCAAATGATTTTGTAAATTCTTCTATACAGGTGAAATGACCTACAGAAGCAAATACCTGAGAAGTGACACCTATAGAGATAATATGGCTGCAAACAGAATAGTTGTGTCTGAAATGGGGACAATGGCGTATCCAGACCCAAGCAAGAACTTAATTTCCAAGTAAGTTTTATTCACACCAAATCTGACTTGTTTAATTATTATTTCCCTTTTGTATAGTAAGCAAAGTAGTATTGTAAAATGTTTTATTTTGGTGTCCACTCCTTTTAGGATTCTGTAGTTTTGCTTGTTTCTTTTCTGTAAAACTGCAAGAAAAAAAGATCTTCTGTAACATTAATACACAAATGGAGTCTTACAGTTTTGTAAAATGACTGAGATGGAAAGGAGACTAAGATTTTCTTTAGAATCTGTAACATGTAAATAATCAGACTATTGTATTGGAACAGCCCTCCTATTGTTTGCCACTCTGCTGTGGATTTGTCATTAGGATGCAAATGAGGCACACATTCATATGGATGAGCAAAGCAGGTCTCTTTGAAGTATTTGTCATTTAAAAAAAAAAATCTCTTTACTTTTCAGGGTGATTACTCTTTTCAACCACACAATACCTGACTTCACTGATAACGGTGCCAGCAATTTTATCAAATATGGAAACGACTATTTCGCCACTTCTGAAACCAACTACATCCGCAAGATTGATCCACTGACTCTGGAAACTCAGGACAAGGTAACACTGCCTGCCGATCTTTGTCAGTGTTAACACACAACCAGATTTGCTTCAGAACTTGTTTCACCTCATCCCTGAACTGTTTGCCACAGGTGGACTACACCAAGTACCTGCCGGTAAACTTGGTTACGTCCCATCCACACTATGACAAGGAGGGCAATACCTACAACATCGGAACTTCAATAGCAGAGAAGGGCAAGACAAAATATGTGCTGTTCAAAGTCCCTGCTGTTTCACAGAAAGGTATATTATCCCTATATCCTGCTCAACTTTGTCCTGACACCTCAGAAGTCAGATCTCCTATCAGCTGTACTTTGATGTAGAACGTTAAGATACAACATAAGAATAAGCAAATGTAAGTTGGGAAATGAGAAGCAGGTGATGAACAGTTACGTCTGCTTCCTTGAATCTGAATGCAGTACAGTCAGAAGTCAAGTCAAGTTATATGTTATTCATATTTTTACAATCTAATATCATCAGATTGTCAGATAATAAACAGTCTAATAAGACTATATTTCCAAACTGGATTCTTACCAAACAATATGTCATATGTGTCATTGCTGCATCATCCCTTTAAACTCAGGAACCTTATTCAAATTCATTACAAGACACACATATGCTAGCACCTACATTCGTTATTATTTCTCATTTCACCTTTCAGGCAAAGGGAAGGATGCCCTTGCGCTGAAGAGTGTGGAGATTATCTGCACAGTTCCCTGCCGCTCCCTCCTCACACCAAGCTACTACCACAGCTTCGGCCTGACAGACAACTACATCATCTTCATCGAGCAGCCTTTCAAGCTGGACATCCTCAAGATGGCCACTGCCTACATGAGGGGTGTCAACTGGGCGAGCTGCCTCAAGTTCTGCCCTGACGAAAATGTAAGGAATCACTCCAGTTATTGCATGCCAGTGCAGACAAGGGAAAAAGACTACACCAGTGTTCTAGCAAAAAAAAAAAACCTGGGTGCAATGGGATTGACTATAAATGTTTAACATGTCTATTGTCTTTCTAAATGTTTGTTTCTTCATCAGACTCTGATCCACCTGATAGACAGAAAGACTGGCAAGTCGACTGAGATGAAGTACTGCACTGGAGCAATGGTTGTCTACCATCATGTGAACGCTTTTGAGGATGACGGCCATGTCGTCTTTGATGTCATCGCCTACAATGATAACAGCCTTTACGATATGTTCTATATGAGCAATCTGAAGAAAAACACAGAGTTCACTGAGAGTGGCTACTCCAAACCAAGTTACAGAAGATTTGTCCTTCCCATCTCGTCAGACAAGGTGGAAATAAAAACAAACCAAATTAATTTCCTCTGGTAATTTAAAGATTGCACTCCTCTAGCACTTGAGCTTAATGTTTTGGCTGGGTTTTACAGGGTGTTGCAGTTGGAAACAACATGGTGAAGCTTAAGTACACAACAGCCACTGCTGTGAAGGAGAAAGAAGGCAAACTTGTGTGCCAAGCAGAGGTTCTCTGTGAAGGTAAAACCAATGCCACTCAGACACTTGAAGCAAATCAATCAGCTATTCTTTGACGAGTATTTCTTGTGTTATGTCTTTAAGCGTAATTGATTTATTCACACAAGCACAAAAACTGTCTCGTTTCACCTCTCATTCAGGAGGCTTGAACTGAAGAAGTCTCTGGATGAGATATGAAATGCTTTTAAGCCCCAACAAGAGATGTCCAGTTGCTTTCATTAAAGCACCTAGAAGCATAAAGACCTGTGACCTTCCTTCCATCAGGTTTTGAACTACCCAGACTCAACTATGACGTCAATGGCAAGAGGCACCGGTTTGTCTACGGGAACTGTGTGGAGGAATCTGCACTGGCGAAACAGGTGACATGCCCTACCTATTGTCTTCAGTTTTACTGTTGGGGAATGTAAGTGGTGGGAACATCCGTCTTTGACATGTTAAATGCAGGACGTTTGGGAAATAGATCACTAATGGCAGCATTGTTTCACAGTGGTAGGAAGCAAACTGCAGCGTTGAGAGTTACTCGTTGATGCAACAGACGTATGGAAACGTCACTTTTTGTCAAGTGTCAATTACCCATTGTCCGAACAAAGATCAAATCCTTACATGACCCACACTGGGTTCATCTGGGTAGCAAGAACAATAGAAAAAACACAGAACCCCAAGGCTCAACCACAGCCCAGTGGTATAATATCCGAAAAGAGGAAGACACCAAAGGAAGTAACATGCTTTGGACAATTACATGTTTTTTTTTTTTTTTTTAACTATTATTAGTCCCCACGAGACAAAGCATTCGAAGAGCAAAGAGAGCATTGTCTTTTCCTTTAATTTAAATTGTTTTTGAATAAGAGTTTTATACACTGCAAAACAAATGAATAAAGAACAGGACATGAAAATGAAATAATTTTAGGCAAATGTTATAATGATGATTTGATTCAAAAACCAACAAATACATATTTTTCCTAACTGGAATATTTAGGGAATATGAAACATTGCATATGTTAATATTAAGGCTACCCTAAATTTTATTTGATCAAACAAAAGGCTTGGCTATGTCCGCTTGAGTAAAAATCTACATTACTGTCAGTTGCAGTCTTATTGGCTGAACTAGACCTGAGTCTTTAGGTGGCAAACATCTAACACAGTATCAACAAAAAGTCATATGCAACCACAACACCGGTAGGATTTATTGCAGGGTATTTTTTGGACTGAAATAGATTGTACAAATGTGCCTGATGTTGTGGTATTTCAACATAGAAGTCCTCTGATTCAGTCAGTCACAAGTCCAGATTATGTAATTTCTAGGGCCTCCTTTGAGGGAGATGGACACTGATCCTGTTGCTTATTCACTTACTTTTTGAATGAAAGATAAATAAATAGGTTTAGCCATATGTCAGTTACATTTACCTTGTTTTGAGCCATGTGCTGCAATAAGATGAAGAATAAGAATATTGATTTGACTTTCCTACACCTATATTCTGAAAGAAACTAAATAGACTGTGATTTATTGTGCTTCCCTTTTTAATGCAACAGTGAGGAACAGAAACGTCATTGACACGTGCTCAGATATGCTGAAAAGGCACAACTGCAATAATCTAAATTAAGAAAAGCAGTTTTTGCACATTTATCCTCACTTTTAGCCATGACTAATTCCCTTTCAGACAGATGCTCCACTGTGTTCCAACAATATTGTATACTTCTACCATTTTACCACATGACATGGTGGGACTAAGGTTCCAAGTCATTTCTGTTTTACTTTTATTAATGACTGCATGTGGTGGGTCACACCCATATAACACCAGGATAAGAACCTCCAGTCACACCATCTGACAGCCAACTGACAGCTCTAAGTCTAGTTTATAATTTTATAGCTCTTTTCCAAGTATATTGTTTACAGCTGGAACAAAGTTCTGCACGGGCACTGATAAACTACTTTTGCCAGACTCTCTCTGTATTCATGTATATGTCTGTTAATAATTACTGATCACAGCTTCAGAGTGCTTGTAAGATACAGAAAGGTAAACTGTGAAGGCTACCTGTCAGTGCTTTGGTATGAACTGTACGAACTCCTGTGTGTGTGTTTTGCTTGCTCAGGCTAAGAAAAAACTGTATTTTAGACATTTGTCCTAATTTGTTCATTTTCTGCAGGTTGCAAAGTTTGACACTGAAACCAAGAAAATGGTTTACTGGAATGAAGAAAACTGCTGGCCGTCAGAGGCAGTGTTCGTCCCCAGACCAAATGGAGAGTCAGAGGATGATGGTAAGAATACTGTGTGGTGTGCGTACATAATGTATATGTACAAGTGTGTATATGCTACTACACATACATGCATATTTATGTAGACAAAAAGTAAAAATGAGATCTTTCAGTTTTGATTGTGTCTGTAACTTGTATAGACCAATATGTTAATTGTATTCAATCGGAGTTAAGTGTATTGAAGTGAAAGTACATTTGAAAAGCTGATAAAAAAGACTCTTTTCTTTTGATTTATAGGTGTGGTCCTCATACCAGTAAGTAACTCCAACCCGGGCCAGTCTGGTTTCATGCTGATTCTTGATGGTAGAACCTTCAAGGAAGTCGCTCGAGCATATGTGAATGGCGAGATCCACAAGGATGTGCATGGGCTCTTCATCCCACATGAAAATTAATCAGTTGTGCATACGGAAAAAAATCTCTTTGGAAAACTCCCACAAAAACTGTGCCCAAGTAGTACTTATAGCACAGGTATCTATCTGAACTTTGAAGAAACGCATTGCTAAATAGCTCATTTTAGACATGTGTGTTGTTTAATGGATTACTCGTACCATAAAATTATAGGGATTGCTTCACATTGATTTCATGCGCATGAAAAGTAGAGGTCACTGTTTGTTAGTTTAGTATCACTGTTATTATCACTTATGCTCATCCTTTTCATTAAAAAAAAAAAAACTGAACAAGTTCTGTTGTGTGTTTTCACTTTGTAGTCTGTAGTGATAATTTTGTTAGCATTCACCCCCCCATGGAAGTTTTTGCTTTTTAACACTGAATAAATCAATTTAATTTGGCTTTTTTTTGACAATGATTTACCAAAAATAAAGACACTTTCCTGTCCTAATTCTACACAGGTGTAGCTAATTGTTGCTAGAAGTCACACAGTTGGATGAAGTGGAGATCACCTGACTCAGTGACTGTAGTATAAAGACACTTGAATCTGGAAGGTCCAGTTACTGGTGAGTCAGCAGTCCTGGCTATGATCAGGCAGATAAAAGAGCACTCTAAGCAACTCACAGAAAAGGTTACTGAAAAAGTAAATAAATCAGGACACGGATATAATAAGTCACTGAATACCCCTTCAAGTTCTGTTAAATTCATGATTTAAAAATGGAAGGAGTATGGCACATGCATAAAGAGCAGACCGTTCTCAAAAATGGAGTGACCATGCAAGAACCAAATCAGTAAGAGAGGCTACCAGTGCACATATGATTCCTCTGAATGAGTTAGAAGCCTCAGCTGCTGAGACGGGAGAGACCGTATGTATAACATGGCATGTGGGAGAGTTTGAAGCAAGTTGGAAGAAGGTTCTCCTCTATGATTTGACCAAAACTGAGCTTACTGGCCATCAGACTAGATACTATGTTAGGTAGATACTAGACCCTGTATATCATCACAAACTCATCATCCCTATCACCAAGCATGGTGGTGGCAGCATCATGACGTGGGGATGCTTCTTGGCCCAGGAAGGCCTGCAACAGTAGAGGGTAAAATAAATACAGCAAATTACTGGGAAATCCTGGAGGATATCCTGATGCAGTTTGCAAGAGAACTGCAACTAGGTAAAAGGTTTGATTTTACAGCAGGACAATGACTTGAAACGCACAACAGAGGCGATAAAGAAACGGTTTAAAGACAACAAGGTAAATGTTGTGGAGTGACTGAGATGGAGCCCAGACTTCAATCCAACTGAGAATTTGTAGCTGTACTTGAAAACAGCAACACTTACAATCCCTATTTAAACTGATATAGTTTTGCGATGAAGAGTGAGGCAAATTGTTTTGTGCAGATGTGCAAGGCTGAT